TGGTTGTGCATATATGCAAATGCGAAAACGCATATTGCGACAACCCCGGTGTGCGTGTGTGTATGTGTGTGTGTATATATGTATGTATGTGTCTGTCCGGGTATTTCAACTCGGCACCCAAGCAAGCTCTGGCGCCAAGATTTTTTGAGTGGGTTCCCCGGCAAAATGCCACCTCAGGACCGCGGTACCAATCCTCACGCACGTCTAGGCCCCGCGAACGAGCGCCTCAGAGTTTTGGCGGAAAAATCGCTAACTTGGGAACAAAAAAGCTAGAAAGCTGGAATTTTGGTATTATGTTCCTCGTCCATATAGAACTCAAAGATTCTAAATTCAACCCCAGATGTGCGCGTTTCCCGCGTGCGGTCCCGTGAGGGTTCCTGGCACGACAATCGCTAGATCGGGAACCTAGGAAGCTGGGAGGCTGAAACATTCAGGAAATGCTCCCAACTCATCCACAACTCAAATTTATCAAATTCAGCCCCCCGTTATGCGTGGTTGCCACGTACGGCCCCGTGAAATTTCCTGGCAGGAATTTGGGTAACTCGGGCACTGAGAAAGCTGGGAACCTGGGATTTCAAGGGAATGTTCCCTGTCCAAGTACAGCGTGAAATTCCAGGAGCAGTATGTCCCAGGTTTCCAGCTAGCGGAATTTCGAGTGATCTTATTACAGCACGAAATACTGCTAAAACGCATGATCGCACGGGCCCGTCCAGTGCGCGTCGCCAATGATTTTGTTTGTTCCCTTGATCTGCTGCTTTTTATGAGAGTTGAAATACCCGGATAGATGAACACACACACTGACAGGGTCGCTGCAGTGTGCGTTTTTGCTGCCTGTTGCAGCGCTCTAGCGCTCTAGCGCTGCAACAGGCAGCAAAAACGCACATTGCAGCGACCCTGTCAGTGTGTGTGTTCATCTATCCGGGTATTTCAACTCTCCAACCACGCAAGCTTTGAAGCTGAAGTTTTGCCAGTGGGTTCCCCAGCCAATTGTCACCCGAGGACCGCGGTATCAACTCTCACGCATGTCTGGACCTTGTGTACGAGCACGTGAAAGTTTTGGCGGGAAAACTGGTAACTCGGAGACGAGAAAAGCTAGAAAGCTGAAACCTTAGGGAGATGTTCCCTACTCGTGTATGACAAAAAGATTTCAAATTCAGCTGCCTAGGACTGCCCGGGGCTTACGTACGGGCACGTGAAAATT